TTCAATAAAATAATGACAAGTGTGGCCGCCGGCCGGGGCGGCGGGCGCTGCCGCTGCGGCCACTACCGGGGGTCCGCGGCGGTTTTAGGTGGTGGCGCGGCCTTGCGCGCGCCTCCTGGCGGATTCCGGTCCCGAGGGCGGCCCGGCGGAGCGCGACGAGGGCGACAAGCGGGAGTAAAACGCTAGCATGAGCCCTTTATTGCTCCAAAAGATTTGGGGAAACAGCAGCGTGGGCTTCAGCAGTAACTCTCACTCCCCAACCCCGAGAAAGTGACGCTTCTCGTAGATGGCACATGGTTCGTTGTGAATCCACAGATTTTCACTGCTCACCCGGACACCATGCTGGGAAGGATGTTCGGACCGGGAAGAGAGTACAACTTCACGCGGCCCAACGAGAAGGGGGAGTACGAGATTGCCGAGGGCATCAGTGCGACTGTATTTCGCACAGTGCTGGATTACTACAAAACTGGCATCATCAATTGCCCAGATGGCATCTCTATCCCTGACCTCAGAGACACGTGTGATTACCTCTGCATTAACTTTGACTTCAACACTGTCCGCTGTCAGGATCTGAGAACCAGTCTGCCCCTTCCCTGGACCTCTTCAGGGATATCAGCTGTGACTGCAGTCCTCTCCACATAGACAGAAGCGTGTTCAGCTACGTCTTCTCTGCAGGTGCTTTGCTGCACGAACTGTCTAACGACGGTGCTCACAAGCGGTTCGATCACTACCTCGAAGAACTCATTCTGCCCATCATGGTCGGCTGCGCCAAGAAAGGGGAGCGGGAATGCCACATAGTTGTGCTGACCGATGAGGATTCGGTGGACTGGGATGAAGACCACACCCCACCCATGGGGGAGGAATATTCTCAAATTCTTTACAGCTCCAAGCTGTACAGATTCTTCAAGTATATTGAGAATCGAGATGTTGCTAAAACAGTGTTAAAGGAACGAGGCCTGAAAAACATTCGCATCGGAATTGAAGGTTACCCTACCTGTAAAGAAAAAATTAAGAGAAGACCTGGTGGCCGGTCTGAAGTTATCTATAATTATGTGCAACGGCCCTTTATCCAGATGTCATGGGAAAAGGAGGAAGGAAAGAGTCGCCATGTGGATTTCCAGTGTGTCCGGAGCAAATCGCTCACTAACCTGGTAGCTGCTGGGGAGGACATTTGGGAGGACCAGGAGGCACTCATGCACCACCCGCCCCAGGTGGACGAACTTGACCGGCTAAACGCTCCCCTTTCTCAGATGGCTTCCAGCGACGCTCAGGATTAGGGCCAGTTGTGGGTCTGCCCTCATGTAGCTCTGTGTGGGGCTCTCCCGCCAGGCCGCCCCATATTCCCTGTGCTTTGTCCTCCCCATAATTAACACGTCCTTTTCAGGAAGTCTGTGCCTCTGCTGGGGGTTGAAGAAGCACTTTGGTGATGGAGCTAACAGCTTTGCAGTAGCCCTGGTAACTTGAAAATTTGGGGTCTGGTGCTGTTCACTGAGTCTTTGCAGAACTGCAGAAGCAGGAAAGGAAGTTAAAGACTCCTGTCACCTCACATTTAGGAAAGCAGTTCTTTCCTTTATAATCAGAGGGTGGTGTTTTTTTTATACCAGGCAAATTGCTTAGTAGCAAAGGGACCAAACGTAAAGGGAGGCAATCTCTAGCTGTAAAAACAGGCCCTGGTGACTCACTGGAGGTGAATGACACCATTCCTGGGGCCTCTGCACCCACACTGCAGCTAGGAAGAGCTAGGCCTGCCTTCAAAATGTCCGGCAGGAAAGTTCTAAGAGCTTACATTCAATTTTATTTCTCATGAATGCAAAGCGCAATCTAACACCATGCAAGACAGGCGGTTTGGCAGGAGAACGACCTCGGTGTTTGTGAAAAGTTTTTAGCTTCAAGGTTTGTAACCCTCAACAAATCGATGGTTCACTTGGACAGAAACTCACAACTCAAGTGGAAGAACTTCTCTCAGTCAGACCAGTGGGATCCTGGCATGGAGGTCTTGGTGCCCTCAGGCAGCACATTGCTGTAGGTGTGGCCGGGAGACCAGAGGGAATGGCTTCGAGGCTCTCAAGATGAGGACAAGAATTTCTCACAAGTGCTCAGTGTCTTAACAGAGTCATTGGAGCTCCAGGGACAAAGCACTTGGGGTGCATTGGGTAGGAGACGCCACCTGCACAAGCTCTGTCCCAGTACCTGTTCTTGTTATACCATGCAATCTGGGTGTATCAGTACATTGCAGTTTTTGAAATTGCCTATTGACTGCTCACACACTGGGTAATAAAGTGATACTAATGCCATCTTCAAAGGAGAGGCGAGGTGAAGGGAGCTGGGTCTGGGCCCCCGTGATCTTGTTTGATGTCAGCTCTTTGAGCAGTGTGGGGTAGGTGACAAGCCAGGTCACTCCCCAGCCTGCACTTCTCTCACACTTCCTTGCTTACTAGCAGCACAGCTAAAATTTAGAGTTCAGAGCCAGACAGATGGGTTTGGGATTATCTCCCATTTTCTGGTGGAAACTGACCTAGTCCCCAGGCCTGGGCATTGACCCGTCACAGACAGCAAGCACATAGTTTTCTTCAAATGCCTTGAGGACAGAACATGACTTTTGTCGTTTTGTGTGTTTGCGGTGCTGGGGGCAGCACCCAGGCCTTGCTCATGGCAGCAAGTGCTCTACCACTGAGCTACACCCAGCCCTCAAACTACTGGTTTTCCTAAATTCCATCCCCATAAGGTACTGGAGGCAAGCTACTTAGTTCCACCTCACAACTGCTCTAGTCACAGTCCCCCAGAACTCAAGTCAGGTGTTCAAAACCCCTCTCCCCAGGCTTGGAGAACAGGAGTGTTCTAAGCAAGCATGTCCTCTGGGTGACCAGCATCCCAGTAGAAACCCACAGGTTAAACTGAGCCATCTTCACCTAGTTTTTCTGATGATCATTGGCATCTATTTGCAAGGCAGATGACCAGGGTTAATTTAAGGTTAAGGTTAGGGTTAATTGTAATAAATTAACATTTCTGCAAAAGTGATTGGTGCATATTGGGGTCTGGTTTGGCCTTGACCTTCTCGGTACCGTAGTCATGCCCACTAGCAGTGAGCGGTCCAGATCATCGCTGGTGCTCCTTTGTGGTTCTTTGGACTTCATGCTATTACAAAGAAAATGTAAGACACTGTCCGTGTACTAGCGACTTGCGTAACTGCTGTTACATCGATGTCTTATGTATTGTTAACATCTAAGTGTGTATGTGACAGCCAATGATTTAAAACTGGTTGGTTCTAATGTGCTTTTGGCCCCAACCTATGGGGTTTGAGTGAGTGAAAGTCTGGAGGTTAATCCGCCAGTCTCGCCAGGTTACCCAGCAATGGGAAAACGAGACCGCAGGTTTCTTCTGGAAGAGAGGGAGGTTTCCTCTACACCCCAAGCCCTGCCCAGACCTCAGCATCGCCACGCCTATCCTGTTCCCAGGGCCAGGATGCCTCGATGGCAGGACCTCCCAAGGCAGGCAGGAACGGTGCTGGGTTGTGGTCGTCCCCCTCAGAGTCAGGTACTGGCCACATAATCCAGAGGTATTTCTCCCTAAGAAAAAGGTGCAATGCAGGTGTGTTTCTTCTAAGTGCCTAAATAAGTAAGCCAGGCTGTAGGTCTACAGAAACATTTCCCTAAGAAATTGTTTTACCCAGAGTATCTTAGGGCATCTTAGCAAGCCAAGATGAACCTGAACTTGAGGTTTCAGATCCTGAGTTTGTGTCTGCATCATTTCTTGTAATGTCAGAAACATTTGCCACAGAGGAGCTGGAGAGAGCGAGGAGGCAGGTGTGAAGTCATATCAGATTATATCATGGTTTCTCGAAGTAGAAGAAAGGTTTTGAAGGAATGACAGCAAAAAGGGTAAGGAAGATAGAAGGATCTAGATTTGCTGCACAGAATGCAAAAGCCAACAGGACAGTGACAGCCGATCAGGTCTAGAAAACACTGGATAAGCTCCAAGGAAGACGTGCTTGCAAAGTGTTCCAAAGGCTCTGTCTTTAAATCAACATTCAGAACACAGGTTTAACTTCAAACGCCATAATACAGTGCGGAAAATTTTTTTAAAAAAATCAAGGGTTTTTAGTAATATATTCAATGCCTCTTCTTGCCATCATTTTGAAACATAAGATGGGCATAGTGAGCTCAGAAAATAAGCCTGCCGCCTTCCTGAGACAAGGCTGCATTTGTGTTCTGGTTAGACTCTTGGAGGTTTTGCCTCTTTTCTTTGTATTTCTTTTAACGTTGCACTTGTTCACCTACCAGTGTTTACGACATCCTATATTTGGGAAGCTTTTTCTATAATAAAATATTATCATTTGTAAAAAAAAAAATAAATAAATAAATAAAATAATGACAAACCAAATCCAACACCATATCAGAAAGATCATTCACCACAACCAAGTCGGCTTCATCCCAGGGATGCAGGGCTGGTTCAACATATGCAAATCTGTAAATGTAATACAGCACATTAATAGAAGCAAAGGAAAAAAAAACACTTGATCATCTCAGTAGATGCAGGAAAAGCCTTTGGTAAGACCCAACATCACTTCATGATAAAAGCTCTAAGAAAACTAGGAATAGAAGGAATATACCTCAACATTGTAAAGGCTATATATGACAAACCTATAGCCAACATCATATCATGGTGAAAAACTGAAAGCATTTCCCCTAAAACCAGGAATCAGACAATGGTGCCCACTATCCCCACTCCTATTCAACATAGTCCTGGAATTCCTAGCCAGAGCAATCAGGCAAGAAGAAGAAATAAAAGGAGTACAAATAGGTAAATAAACAGTCAAAATATCGCTATTTGCAGATGACATGATCCTATATCTTAAAGACCCTAAAAGCTCTACCCAAAAACTCCTAGACATCATAAACAGCTACAGCAAGGTGGCAGGATAAACAATCATCTTACAAAAATTATTAACTTTTCTATACACCAAGAACGAACAAATTGAGAAAGAATATATGGAAACAATTCCATTTACAATAGCCTCAAAACAAAAAAAAAATCAAATACCTAGAAGTAAACTTCACAAAGGATATGAAAGACCACTAAAAGGAGAACTACAAACCCCTGAAGAAAGAGTTCAAGGAAGACTACAGAATGTGGAAAGATATCCTGTGCTCATGGATTGGTAGAATAAACGTAGTAAAAATGGTCATACTACCAAAAGAAATCTACATGTTTAATGCAATTCCCATCAAAATCCCAATGACATTCATCACAGAGATTAAAAAATTTATCCTAAAGTTCATTTGGAAACACAAGAGACTGTGAATAGCTAAGGTAATACAGAGCAAAAAGAGCAATGCTGGAGGTATTACAATACCCAACTTCAAACTATATAACAAAAAAACAGCAATAAAAATAACACAGTACTGGCACAAAAAACAACATGATGACCACTGGGACAGAATAGAGGACCTGGATCTGAATCCACCCAGCTATGTCCACTTTACTTTTGACAAAGGCACCAAAGCATAAGATGGAGAAAAGACACTTTCCTCAACAAATGTTGCTGGGAAAGTGGTTATCCACCTGCAAAAAACGGAAACTTGATCCATGTTTTCACCCTGTACTTATATCAACTCAAAATGGATCAAGGATCTTAATATAAGTCCCAAAATTTTGAAGTTTATACAGAAAAGAGCAGGGAATACTCTGGAAGTAAATTCAAGGATTTCCTCAATAGAACCCCAGCAGTTCAACAACTAAGAGAAAGGATGTACAAATGCACTACATAAAATTAAAAAGCTTCTGCACAACAAAAGATATGGTCTCTAAACTGAAGAGACCACCCACAGAGTGGGAGAGAATATTGCCAGCTATACATCAGACAAAGGACTGATAACCAGAATATACAGGGAATTCAAAAGTCCAAACTCTCAAAAAAATCAATGAACCGGTAAAGAAATGGTCAACTGAACTAAAGAGAACTTTCTCAAAAGGAGAAATTCAAATGGCCAAAAAATACATGAAAAAATCCTCACCATCTCTAGCTTTAAAGGAAATACAAATCAAAACCACACTAAGATTCCACCTCACATGTGTTAGAATAGCTATCATCAAAAACAGCACCAACAACAGGTGTTGGGTAGGATGTGGTGAAAAAGGAACACTTGTACACTGCTGGTGGGAATGCAAGCAAGTGCAACCACTCTGGACAACAATAAGGAGGCTTCTTAAGAATCTAAACGTAGATCTGCCATACCATCCAGCAATCCCACTCCTCGGGATATACCCAAAAAATGTGACTCAGGTTGCTCCAGATACACCTGCATGCCCATGTTTTTTGCAGTGCTATTCACAGTAGCCAAGTTATGGAAACAGCCAAGATGCTCAACTACGGACAAATGGATCAAGAAAATTTGTTATTTATGCACAATGGGGTTTTACTCAGCCATGAAGAAGTATGAAATCTTATCATTCGCAAGTAAATGGCTAGAACTGGAGATCATCATTCTGAGTGAGGTTAGCCAGGCTCAGAAGACCAAGCATCATATGTTCTCCTTCATATGCGGGATTTAGATCTAGGGCAAATACAACAATGTTGTTTGACTTGGGTCACACGCTAAGGGGAGAGCACACATGGGAGGTATGGGGATAGGTAGGAAACCCAAAACTTGAAAGTGTTTGATTTCTCCACTGCAGAAGAGCTAATACTCTAATCATAAAATGACAGGGGTCAATTTGGGAAGGTGACCGGGAAGTAGTGATGTGGTCAGATAGACATGAATCAATTCGGTTGTAATACACTTGTGCGTGTAAGCAATGCTAGGAATCTCTCTGTATAGCTGTCCTTATCTCAACTAGCAAAAACACTTTATCTTCCTTATTATTGCTTCTCTGTACTCTTTAACAATATTGCAGAAAAGGGCAGAACAGGTTCTGCCTGGAAGTGAGGGGGGTGGGGGAGAGAGGGAGGGTGCTGGGAGTAGGAGGGAGAAATGGCTCAAACAATTTATGCACATATGAATAAATGATTTAAAAAGAAGCAAGACAAAACAATTACATTTTTATTCTATTTTAATGAAATATTTAGGCAAATTCAAAGGCAGAAAAGGAATTCATGGTTGCCCATAAACAAGGAAAATGACAA